TTCTTAGCCTTGAAGCTTTGGAGAAAAATAGAAAGGAGGAGAGAAGTCAACTCACAGACATGATAAACGCGTTCATGTTGGCGGTAAAATACAGAATGCTTTCATTTCTGTAGCTGGTGAGAATTCCCAATGCTCCTGGGAAGACTGAGTATGGGAGGGTAACATGTACTGCTTTTCTGCACTATTGTATGGATTTAGAAAAACCACAGGACAGCTTTCACTATGAGTCAGGACGAGGGTGGGCGAAATTGGGAGCTTTATTTTGGAGAGTGGAAGAATTGAGAGTTGGAGGCTTTGTGTGTGAGGAAGGACGTTATTTATCTTTTATTATTTCCAGATTGTTAGGCCAATATCGGAGCAGGTAGCTCACAGCGATAGCAAAAAGCCACCAGGGCAGAATGGCGCTCCAGTTGCAACATTAAAATAGTCCAAGAGGATGGAAGGACATTGGGAAAAAAAAAGGGGGGGGGGGGGGGGGTTGTAATAATAGATAACGTTGTGCAAAAATCGGATACCTTCAGAGGCACCACATCACGGCTATTCAGCTCAATTTATTCACAGGTCAGAATGTTGAAAATGTGGATCGTTAGGGGCCCGAACCCCAGCATCGCAGGGTCATTGATACAACACAGTTGTCATTGATCCGCGGGCCAGATTTGGCTCGCAGGCCACTAGTTGAATACCCTGTCTACATCCTTGCTTCTTTTCCCTTTGTCGCAGTGTACTACAGTTGTTCCCCCCTCATTTTACGTGTCGGCTTCGAGATTTTGTAGGGGATTCCTAGCGTTTCTCTGGACAGTACCATATAATGGAAAGGGGAAGGGGTTTATGGTTAGGGCTAGTGTTGAGTGAATAGCGACTACCCCCGGGATGTTCTATGGTTTTCCTTACCAAATCTCAAAGCCGGCGAGATGTGGTCGAATAAAACTAAAGTACCGAATCAAGAATTCGCATGTCTGAACTCGGGTCATTCCCACACGTTCTGCGTCTCCTTCCTCGGTAGCCAACGAAGATTCGATCTGTTAATTGTACTAATTGCAAGCTGATTAAAAGTTCGCCTATATTTTCCGCTTAATGTTGAATGCCTTCCAGACCACCTTTTCACATTTCGCTGAATTAGTCAATGTTATATACTCTTGTCTGCTGTGTTGCCCTTCTTGAAATAAGTAAACTTCAGCAATTATATGGCACTCAAAATGTTAAGATAATTGCTTTAAGAAATATAAGAGACGAAGTATTTCGGCCACATTAAAAGACATAACACATAAAAACTGTACTGGTGGGAAAAGTTGAAGGCCAGTGAGGATGGGGTAGGCGGTGATATAAGTGGGAGAATGACGTCAAGTGACTGATGAACAGCTTTCTCAGTGTACAACCAGAACGAGAGACTTAGCCTGTTGGAGATCAATTGTAGCCAACATTCATTGTGGAGACGGTACCTGATTGAATATATTCTCATCTCACTAATTGACGAAAGAATGTTGACATTTTTCTGACTCACATTCAAGTTTCCTTTGTTCCCTGACTCTTTCCTGAATACCAGCACCACGCTTTGGTCATTGACTGTCCGTGTTTTTTTTTTTTTTTATATAGAACTCTTTGAAAATATTGCACTGTTTTCTGTATACAGCTGTTAGGTAAAATTACATTTCTGCCGGCATATCCCTTTCTGTCAGGAAGGAATCAAACAAAACGTTGATCATTATACGGCTCACATGTTGAGAATGTGAAGCTGCTGCGAGTGTGTGATCAATATGCAGCTTGCTGCAGAATGAGAAACACACAGACAGTGGAAAGGAAGTCATACAACATACGATTGGAGAGAATTCCAAATGCTGCACTGGGTTTCTGGGTCAGCAGTGACACTTGGCAGTGGCTGATACGTTGTAGACCGAATTGGAATCATTGCATGCATTATTCATATAACCACTTGCTTTTAAGTTGATGAAACCTCACTCCCTCCCCCTTCTAACGCGTCAGTTCTATCTACAGGCTGGATAAAACAAAATCCCTTAGAATCTAATCTTTGGTCTCAATGATTTAAGCCCCCCGACTTTTTTTCCTATTCGTAATCCCTGATATCCCCTGTATTTGCATTCAGTTTTATTATGCGTTTGGATTTAGGTCAAGGGCCATGGGCGAACAGAGAAACAAACATGCGTACAATTGTTTTAGCGACGTGGGGAATATGAAAGCTTGGAAGATGTATGGAAAGATATCCTTTCCATAGGTTTTAGGCAGTTTTAGAACAGTTCTTTTATTTAGCTCTCAGAATGCTGCTATGGATGTTTTATTGGCTGTAATTAATTAAAACTAGTTTAAGGTTTGTGACTGCATGAAATCAACATGATTGCACAAGATAGAACAGTGGAGGACACTGCGAGCTTATGTGAGTTATAAACGGCACAGCATGATGATGATGATCCTGAAACAGTTTACGCTTTGGTAACAAGCTGATAACTTTATTTACATGCACGTGAGATCAAATAAAGTGCACCATCGACTTGAAAGGCAAACCCTGGCAAAGGTGCCTGCAAAAGTCTATGGTATCGGCCGAAAGGGGGAACTATTGCAGGCGTTTTAAACGGGCACTCCGCATTTACTTGCTATAACATCCTGTCATCTCCTTGTCAGATGCAATTTTTCTCTATTTTGAAGCCCCACCCTGGCTCTTGCCAGGGGCCGCCATATAGCCCGACCATAAATATGGTCTAATGGCTGAACGCGGTTTCTGGTACCTCTCCATAGGTAATCCTCATCCACATGGTGGCACTCTGTGTCATCGGGTGTTTATCGCTTGTGTGATGTCCTGGTGGGGTAAAAATCTACTACTACTACTACTACACTTGCTCAGATGAATCCTTTCCTTGGCCGAGACAGATCAGAGCTGGACCTGCAGACTGTTGTTCACGCCAGAAGCTGTATCTTCGGTCTGTGTCACATTGTGATTTGACATACTGGGAGATTGAATTTAGGCGACTATCCAAGTAATCGAAACCCACTGCCGGCTGGTGGATTTTTATCGTGGTATTTTGCATCACAGATCAACCCAGCCTAAAATGGGTACCAGGATGGCTGTCCTGGGGAAGTAGAGACGACCGGCGTAATGCTGATCACATTACCCATCTAGTGCCGATGGTCTGAAAAAATATGGGAGCTCTTCCCATATACCCGATGCGCCTAAAGGCGTCGGAAGGGATCTTTACTTTTTTTTTTTTTTTTACTTTCTAAGTATGTGCACTCACCGATTTCTAGCCACTGTTTGAGTACGTGCATGCACTCACTAATGTTAGCCCTTATCTAAGTACATTCACGCACTATTGTACCACAGTGTCTTCGCTTGTGTTTTTATTTTCCCCCGCCATTTGCCCCCTTTCATGAATTTCAGCCTGAAAGATCGAAACTCAGTGGCCCAAGAAGCCAAAATCCGAATGAGAATCATATCGGAGCAGACCTGAGAAAACCCATCCAATGATCTTCTTCTTTCTTTTGTCCTGCTGCTTATGCCGTACAGCGTCGTAGAGAGGAGTTAGGCGTGGTTTCCTCTCTTTTGCTCGTGGCGTAGCTTGTGTTAATATCATATTACTTTCCTGCAGTAACTCTTTTACTTCCTCTACCTTAATCTTTCATGGTCGACTTCTTGACTTATATATAACCTACTGTTCTCATTTGTGTAGTGCGCTCTTCTGCTAGTTGATTTTGTTCCATTTTGAGCAAACCCTTTGTGTCTTTGGTGTTGCGTGAAATCATTTACTGGTATTTTTCCTACCATTGTTCTTAGTTCTTTGTTGCTGCTCTTCTGGGGGGGGGGGGGGGTCCCTTCTTTTCTGCCGCGTGTCTTATACATCTCAGCTCACATGTTGTAATTTTGCATTTATGTTTCTCTAGAAGCCCCTATCTCTGGCACTGTTAGCACGACGTTGGTACGATTAGCGCATATGTCAGCTGCTTTTGGTGCATTCAAAGTGACGTTTTTTGATAATTTATGGTTTTGGCTCTTGTATTCTATGTCCAACTGTACAGAACGTATGGGGATGCCTTACTGTGGATCTGTAAAGCAATGTTTACCCATAATTTCACTGGTGCCTAAATTGTAATTAAATATGACGAAGTTGTGAATTCGATCTTCCAAGTACAAATGTCTGTTTTACCACTAGGGAAGGCAGAAGCACTAACATTTCTGCAGAAGTATATTGTTCAAAAGCCATTATTTTTTGTTTAAAATGTACATAAAACGGGTTATAAACATGGTCATGACCACATGGTTGTAAATAAAACACTGGAAACACCATGAAAATGCATGACAGCATCCTACACATGCCTGTGCTACAGACACAGACGGGCTGCCGGTAAACTTCCCCTTGCAGTGCGCTCGCTGTTTGTTTATAAATACACACCAACTATTTACATCTGTAGGCTTCTGAAGTTCTGGATCCCGGTTGCCAAGACAACGCCTGATATATGATAAGAGTTCACGTGGCCCTGGGCAACTGATTCACATGGAGGATGGGAGGCGGAGGGAATTCCGAGAAAGAAAAAAAAAAAAACCACACACACAGAAGAAATGCCTGTACGTCTGTGTTACTCGTGAGAATACCAGCGCCGCGGCTGACTACAAACGCAACGCACACACGGCATCTTTCTGTCTTGCCAGTCTAAAATTGCCTCTAATCGTTCTGTCTGCGAGGCGTACTTTTAACGTATTATTCGGAAAGCCTGTGATTGCTAGAGTGATAAGCAGAAGCACTTACGTATTGATTCCTATAGATGCCACCAGACAGTAATCGATGACGACGACGGACTGCATGCTTAGAAAAGTATTAAATAAAAACACAAAAGGATGAATTTAAGAGTCACTTTACTGCCGTTTCCGCTCTGAGATTCTATTGCTGTTTTCTTTGTAAACATAGACAAGTGGTTTGAGGACTTGAATGTGTTCGTTCCCACAGTAAAGCCATTTGATTGATCATGTCTTCAACTGTTTCTTTCATTGTACACAGTGTTTCAAGCCTATTGTGGACAAAGTAGGCCTTTTTCGTCACAACAAGCGGCCCGTGGAATTCTTGAACGATCGGACACTCAGTATTGTTGAAGAAGGCGATATCAGGCTTTATAAGGTAAGTACATGTGTGTCTCTATGGCTCCTCGCCTCCCGGTTGCTGCTGATTGTTACTTTTTTTAAAACATGTTTCATAGAGTCTGTTATCTATCGCAATTAACTGAGAGTATATTAAATTGTTGAGAGACTTTCTTCTTTATCTTAGAACCCCTTTCCACGCATTCAGCCGTATTTTGCATATAGGGTTCAACCTATTTTTATAAACCAATCCGCACTTTGCGGATGATGTGGTCAGCATCACACTAAAAGGGTACTTAACTTATAGCCCCCTCTCCCCGCATATGTATCTTAAGAGATGTAGCCTATGGAACATCTTATTTACTGAAATGGCTCTAGATTTCGTTTTTTTTTAAATTATATTTTTTATGTTGATGTTTTTGTGGTAAGTGCCGTAAAATCCGAAGAAGTTGAGTTGGACTAGATTACAGGCATTGTGGTTTGGGCTCATCCTCAATGGGCAAAACTATTTAGTCTGTATTAATCCAGCTATGTGATCCACATCTACGCAGACAGTGAATTCTAGCGAATTGTCCTCTGTCTTGCTGCCGCCATCGTATTGGGTGACCATTTCGCTGGTGTTCCATGCTGCTTGGTCAGTGGGGGGAAGGGGGGGGGGGTGTTCAGTAAGAACTAGATAAAGGCAACCAAATTTGAACATATATGATAGGAATCATATGTGCCGGACAGGTTAGCACCCCCCCCCCAACCTCCCAATTAATTCTTGGAAAAAAAGTGGGGGGGGGGGGGGGGTACTATTTCGAAGAGGGCTAATTAATTATCTCTTCCCCTACCACCACCAGGACCAATAAACGTTCTTTTGTTTAACTGTTAAGTTATACATTTTCTATGATTTCAAATATATTTATTTGCCCTTCAGCGCGTAATAATATAACTACAATTCCTGCTGTTATTATGCACTTTAACACTGCTTAAGACACGCCCCCCCCCCCCCCTTTTCCACGAGCTTTCAGTATTGTGACGCGCCTTAAATTAGGTCATTAGGGTGCTACTTCTACAAACTTCCCTTCCCTAAATCCCTAATATGCTTTATAGACAGTACAGTACATGGAGGGAACGGGTACTACAGCACAAAGTCGTTAGGTAAAACTACCCCAAGAAAAAGTATGTTGGTCTGAATACCGCACCAGTGGCATGAAAATTACTAATGATCTCTTCACCTGCTGGTGCCAAAGGAAGCAGTTAAAGCGTGCTGTTGATTGACTCATATGTTGCTGGGTCCCGTTATGGGCGCTCTGTGTGTCAGCAGTGTATATTACTGGGGCATAGGTACCAGCGTTTGGCAGCGGTTGTAGTCGGTTGTTGGAATTGGCGCCACCTCAAGTAGGTTGTTCCTGTCTGTACTTCACCTCGACAGGTGACAAGTGGCTTATGTTTGTGCACATTCGCTTGTGAACCGCACGGGTTTGTAAGCTTCTTTTAATGTCACAGAATATTTGCTGTCTTATTATTTTTTCGGTTTTATGTGTAAAAAATTATGAAATCATAACTGTAATAGCAGGGGCGCTAACACAAAGAAATTGCCCCCCCCCCCTTTTTTTTGTTTTTGTTTCCAAGTTTCAGTCAGCTTCCTTTAAGTTTCGTGAGGGAAAAGGTGGGGGGGGGGGGGGGGGAGAACCCTCAAGGGACTGCACTATTCCTCCTCATATCATTCTTCTTCTTCTCTGTTCATCAGAAGATGTTATTGTCTTTTGTCCGTTTACAGCTTGCCTGCGATATTTGCGCCTTTCGACCAACACATCACATCCGACTTCTGCGGTCATTTGTTGCTGTATACTGCGGCGGAACGTTCTTGTTGTTCGTCCACTTCTAGACTTTGGTCCTGTTTCAGAATTTGAACTTTGCGGGCACATCTATTTCACAAGTCTGGCTTCTTTATATACAGACTGTTGGTTTCTTGTCTTGTCTCAGGCAGACGAACTCCGACTTCGAAGGATGACATAGTTTATTGCATAGAATGTTCTTTAGTTTATAAAACACAGTTTTTGCAAGCTCTATTCTATTCTTTATCTCTGTGATAAATCCACCGTCGGATGTTACCCATGTTGGTATATATTTAAAATAATACCTTTGACTTTTTAAAATTTAGGCACTATTATTTTCGTCGATGTCAGTATTACTTTTCTCTTCCCATTAATGCGGATTCCAATTTTAGCACTTTTTGCCTCCAACATAACACATATGGTCTATTTAAGTCCAGTTCCATGTGCCCGAATGTGCATTGTCGTGAAAAGACTCCCTAGTTAAGTTGTTCCGTGTGGGCGGTTGCGGCCAGTGCGTTATCTATGGCACATTATCTCAACTAGGTCCGTCTGTATATAGGTCCTTCTGACTAAATCACGGTACATTTTGGCGGAGTCCCCTCGAAAATTGGTTACTGCAAGCGTTTCCATGTTGCATTGTGTGACATTTTTATATGCTCACAAAGTCCTGTGTTCTAAACGTATGTCACATATCACTCCTGTCGCGTGCCTAATGTAAGGATTCCTCCCTCAGAACCAACAGCACTCAGAGATAATTATGTTGAGTCGTTTGGCTCGTATTGGTCCAAGGGATTCCCCGTGGCCAATATACGATCAACTTATCTCTGGAGTAGGGCAACTCAAGTATTGGCACTACAAAATATGTCAGTATATATATATATATAATATTTCTAGGCACACATGGCTGGACACCCCCACTACTTACTAAAGAAAGCCCCCAGGTTATGATAGTTCATTATCATAACCATGTTAACACATATAATGAAGATACACATACATACACAACTGCTAAACACTTAAAAAGGTGAAATAGAGACACCTAAGTCAGCCATGAAAATGAATGTATGTAATCAATATAAATTAGATATATAAAAGTGAGACAAATGCCAGATCTCAGGATATCATGTCCAAATCACAAAGATACTAAACAGACAGAAGGTCTTGGAGATGACATCTTGTCATCACTGGACAATCTAGGAGCTGTGAGGAACACAACATCATGCGAAGCTTCAGACT